ATTTTAATTTAGGTGTTTTGTACTTAATAGTGCACTTTATTTTGTATTTTACAACTTGCATTTTGCATATTTTATGGGATAGATAGTGATTCCTGGCAATTTTGTATGACCTTTTTGTGATATTTATTGGAAAAGGAAAAATATATAAATGTTTTCAATAACTTTATGATCTTGTTTTCTTTTGTTTCTATTTGACTGTCACACCTTATTAGTCAATTATTTTGTTCTCAGGTTTAATGACTTTTCTCTAGTAGAGTGCAAGTCACATAAGCATGAAACAATTCTTAACTTTATGTAGTGCTAAATAAGATTTAGTTATCAACTAACTAAGAATTGAGAACAATGCTACAAAGGAATTTAAATAATTGGCATTGTGTTTATGCTTTGTTGAATTCTTAGTTAGTTGATAACTAAATCTTATTTAGCAATACATGTTAAGAATTGTTTCATGCTTATGTGACGTGCACTCTAGAGTGCTAAGAGTATAACCTGATAGTGATAGATACTGGTAGTAAGAGTGAAGTCATAAAACACTTAAAATAGACTACAGCGCTTACCCACTTATAAGAACCTGCAATTTAAGAACCTGTTAGCCTAAAAATATCAAAACAGATCCACTTACATAAGAACCTATTTAGCCTAAAATTTGAAACAGGTTCTTATAGAAATTAACCTAAAGAATTATTCAAGAGCAAAATATCAAATCTCAAACTGTAGTGAACTTGAACATGTATACAATTCTAAATTTGGTATAAAATAATGTTTGAAAACCTTGTAAATTTTCATTACATAAAGGAATAAATAAGAACCTATGAGTAGCCTATAATTYCACTAAGCACCATTTAATTACATAAGAACCTGTTTAGGCTAAATTTGAAAAAAAAATGGGCTCTTATAAGCGGGTAAGTACAACTGTAATACACCTAGTGCATCAATGGACATGTATGTACAGTTTTCTTTTGTGATTGCATAAGCTACTAGCTTAAAAATATGTTGCTATAAAAAGCTTGCAAGTATGTTTTGTAATACATCCTTGTCATGCCAGATCATAGCTTGAAATTATTGTGAATGCTGAAAGTTTATTTTGCAAATTGTGTGAGGCTTAGTGTTTTAATGGCATTTCTTGTCCGATGTAAAATTTGCGAGGGAAATTAAAGATCATGTTAAAACAATAGTTTGTTAGAATATAAGTGTGAAGAAAAATAATTAATTGAAAGTTTAGATGGAAAGGAAGAAAAAAAGTAGAGGAAAATTATACTCACAAATTAAAGTYTTTTTCTGCAAAACTGCATTAAAAATTTAGGTATAAATATCTCATTTTTGCAGATATTTTTGTCATTTTCCCACTATCCAAAGTAACGACCAATGCCGTGAAACCCAATTTCCCCTTCCATATACTGTCAACTCTCACTATTATGGACACCCTCAGGACCGTCATTCAGTGTCCAGCTAGAGTCCGTAGTAACAAGAGTTACATATGTTGTATTGTACTTTCAGTCATTTTGACTTTGTATTTTTTCGCCTGGGATTCAGTATTTTACTGTCCGCAATACTAATCGGGGTGTCCGTTGTAGCGGAGTGTCTGTAAGGCGAAAGTTGACTGTATGACTAACCCCCCTCCACAAGCTTAAAAGGTCTGGTGTTCCTCTTTTTTTTGCTCATTCTAGCAGCCATTTCTTGTACTATACATGAAAAAATAAATCCCCCATTTGTAAGGCAGCTAGCCTTGTTAAAGATGTGTTGTGGAAAAAGTTATTTATAATTACATAATATTTTCACACAGCAATGTAATAGCGGTTGATACAAAAGTTTGGCATTAATGATATGTGTCCAGTAAAATAAAAAAATCAAACACAGGTTTAAATAGCTTTAAAATAATTTATTGTGCAAAATTCAAATAATGTGAATCCGAAAAATAATGTAATTTTAATAACAGTGATCTTAGTCACGCATGTTTATTAGCTGATTACCTATATGTATGCAATTGTAGCCTAAAATTTGAAGATGTAAAGACCAATTTACATGATGCGACTTATTGAACTTGGACAAATATACCTCATGTCAACTTTAAGAAGCTAGGAAAAATCCTTAGACACCGTAGGGCAAGTTTCACATGATAAGTCGCATTGTGTAATTGGTCTTCAGACGTTGGCTTGTCAGATAGTACATGTAGTAATTTGTACAGTGAAATCAGGCCATTCTACTAAGCACACTTTTAACAGGCCAGGTGTTTTAGATGGCTCCTTGTCATTAACTTTTTCCTCTACCTTTCTTACTTCAGCAATGTAACCCATTTAAAGAACATCAATAGGCTTAACATTAGGAAGTTATTGTATATAAACTAGTCTCGAATGACTAGACAATGCATGGCACCTATAACAAATCCCAGAAACTTCTGGCTTAACACACAATGGAACCTAACAATTCCCAGTAACTATGAAATACTAACAACTTCTTACTTGGCTCACAAGAAAAGATATGAAACCTAACAAATCCAAGTAACTATGAACTACTAATAACTTCTTACTAACTACTTGGCTCACAAAGCCCATGGAGTGAACACAATTAATCCATGAAGCTTAAATAGTACAAAATAATATAATTAAATTATGCTAATTCCTTTGTTTTCTATTGTTAATCAACACTATTTAGTAGTAATTAGTTATCGGTAGTATTTGTTTCACGGATTTAGTGCGTTCACGCTATATGGAACCTAAAGGCTGATTTACACGGCACGATTGTCTCGTGCGATTTGTAGTATACGACTTGAATCACGCAGTGTAAATGCCCCTACGACTTGTCTACAACAGTCGTACGCAACCTACGACTTGTAGTAGGAATTTGAACCACTGCCTAAAATCCTACAACTTGTAGTAGGAAAATTGTATACTACAAGTCGCGCGTGACAAATCGTACCGTGTAAATCAGCCTTAACAAATCCAACAACAAGTAACTCTGATACCCCCCCCCCCCCCATCCCCCTTGATACATATGTATGACGCCTAGCAAACCCCAGTAAATATTGGCTTACCATACTGCCACCCACGAACTTTTGTTCAGGGTAATTTATGTCCTACCTTTTCATTTAGTGTTGGGTGCTGAACACATTTCTAATGTGGGCCTCTTTACAACATTTTGACAGGAATCACAGTTAGGTTGATCCTTATTATACCAGAAGCAATATCTTCAAAATGTAAATAAAAAGCAATCCCGGGCAGAAAGCTATGTCATAAATGTATGTCAACTCACCCAATAGAAAGACCTATGATTGTTGTCCTTCAATGATAACATGATGATTCAGGCTGTATATAATTTGTTCTATAATTTGTTACATATCCAAATTCTTTCTGTTTTATCGATTTTTTGATAGCTATTCTAATGAACTGTCTGAGCTGCTTTTTATATACTACTCTTTTTTGCACAGCTGTTTCTTTAGAAACACCGACACAGCTCGTACTATAGTTTACCGCTAGCTAGTTTACACTGACCAGTACATACATTATTGGATTGTTCATTCTTCTTTTCATGATTGAACAGTTTTATAATACATAGTATATTCCAAAGAGCTATTTGGAAGTGTATAGGCTACAGTCTGTTCATTACTAAGCATATCTGAAAAATTTGCACAAAATTGCACCAATTAGACAAATATAATAAATATAAAGGATTTTGCAACAATTTTGTTTAATTTCTGTTAGCATCGTATTTGTAGGTATTTAAGATGCAATATTGCACTTTTACTGTTTTACTCTTTTTGAAAGGTTTGCAGAAATAAGAACACGCACACAAACAAACAAACAACAAGAAAATACAAAAAGAGAAACAAAAAAAGTACGTTGTTAAAACATCCTACACATCACATCGAGCTATAAATAAAAAGAAATACCTGTGTTAGATGGACCTTTGATGTATAATGCTAGTCCTGATTAAGGTCTCCCTCTCCTATTTTACATATATCTATTTTCAAAATACTGTTAGTAATTGTATCTAACAACCTATTCAATGAATCAATTTCAAAATCATAACAAATCCACTATTAAAGTTGTGTGACAAAAAATGCAAACCTTGAAACTGAAAATATATGAAAAGTGTGCGCATGAATTATGACTGCATAATGTTAATGTATACTACATTAATTATGTAAATTTATGTGATTAACTAAATGAATAATTAACTAAAATTCGTCTTTGGTCAGCTGGTCTTGTGTGGTACTATGTGAATCTGAAAAAAGAAATATGAGGCAACTCTCATTAAAGGGCCATGGTCCAACAGCAGTCAATGCAGTCTTTTTTTTTTTACATTTTTCATGTGCAGAAAATGGTGATTTTGAATGCAATTTGTTTCCACTAGTCAGTTTTAAGTTAATAATAATAATATAATATAATGCTATTTATATAGCGCTTATCCAATTCTGTTCTAAGCGCTTTAAAACTACATGACAACTACAAAACACAYGAGAGTCTTGGTAGACTGTGAGCTTGAGTTGGCGCCTCTGGCTGCCGCTGCACAGTCCGTCCCAAKATCTCAAACTAAAAAAGTACAACAATCAGATTACATCACAGTGACAATAAACAAGTCAAATGTTTTTGCATGGTGGCCGGTGGCTCAAATGAGCTCATTCGCCCTTTGACAGGTTTTGTTTTTAGTCCTGCTGGGTGTCATGCCACCCTCCTCACCAGTGTAGACTGGTGGGGGTGCCGGTTTAGACGCCGACGACCCGTCCATGAGGCAGGTTGTACTGGGTTACAATGTTACCAGTAGCAGACTACATGTCTGACCTGACATTTAAGTTCAAATCTTAACAAATCTCCATTCATATAGCATAAAGGGTACCCGGCAAACAGAGTGTTATTTATCTTACCTCAGTAAAAAATTCATGAAGGAAATATCATTTATTATATATCATTTCCATCGCGAATTTTTTACTGAGGTAAGATAAATAACACTCTGTTTGCAGGGTACAGAAAGGGATAATATAGAGTACTTTTTTACTTTTATTTTTAAACATAAACAAAACTTCAAAAGGATGATGGTGGATCATGCCCCTTTTTAAACTCAAATTGACTTTAAACGGCTCAACACAACAATACCGCACACTAATCAAACCAAATCAAACCCCTTGAGGTACACTAACCTCACTAAAGATAATCCAGTTTGGACTTTGATGCATAAGAACTCGTATTCTCAGTTCCACAACCTTGCCAATCTTTTCACTGACTGCTTTATTTTCTGCCATGCCATAATTATTAAAATTTCCTACATTTTGGTATGCAGACATAGGGTACTCCTTCCTAGTGTAATTCTTTTTTGCCTCAGGAGAAGCATCTGCTGGTAATCCTGGTAACACAGAGAATGATTTCAGTTTAACCATCATAACCATTATCATAATCATAATCAATCATAATCATAATCATAATCATAATCATAATTTCATAATCATAAATCATAACATCATAATGTCAAGGAAACTGACCTGGAAGTCTTTTGGCTGTTAATTTAGATTTCTCTGTCATAACTTCAACTGTAGCATTAAGAAGGACATCTCCAGGATGCTCATTGTTACCAGACTTGAAACGAAACCTACAAGACATTAATGAAATTGTTTAGAAGGATATTATGATGTGTAGATCTAGGGGGTTCCACACACATCTTTATAGCTTCAACTTACATTTTTAACTTAAGCGGTTCTGCAAATGCTATCCGAATGACATCCCCTGACAGTGGAGGATAGCACCAAAAGAATGTCTGTCCTGTGTAGGCTCTGTCAATTGTATACTTCTGGTAACTCTCTAGTGTGGTGATTACTTGCGCCTTGGGGTTCAGATGAGCATGGAATAATGCTGACTTCTTGAAATCTTTATCCTTCAAGGAATACAAATAACATATCATTATAATCATGTATCAATTGGAAATAAAGTATAACAGTCATACTTTATCTCTTGAACACCAAAACCAAAACAACAACACAAATAAACAAACAAGAGCAATTAAATACAACAGACAAATGACTGTTATTTTAACAATTACTGTAGATCTTGAGGGTGAGAGATCTAATTGATATAGTATTTACCAGAAAAAAACTGAATGAAATATATATAAATAACTAAATGTTTTTATTGCTAAAAATACACAAAAAGTTGTCGCGTTTCGCTAGTCAAGGACTATTGAAAATAGACCCCAAGTAGCGTAGGCCAATCAGAAAGAAGGATTTGCAATAGTCCACTAGTATGGTAAATTAATACAAAATTGTTGTATTCAATAACATCAAATAGTATTGTGTGGACTAAAAAAATATAACTTACAATCAAGTTTTGTTTCTTTCCCACCAAAGATGATTCTTTACCAACATGTTGGAACAAAGAAGGCTTGAAACGAATTCTTARTTGGCTCTTTTCTCTGTTACAATGGGCCTACAAATTATTCATAAGCCAACATAAAGTAACATAATTATTCTATACAAAGAACCATTTGTCTTTGCAAATTGTCCTAAAACAATGAGCTCTACAAGTGCCAAGAAAGTGAAGTAGCTGCAAAGAGATACTTTAAAGTAATTATATAGGAAAAAGAAAAAGTTAGTAGGAAAATGCTGTGGAAGAGCAAAACTAATACTGAATTAATYACTTACTGCATCTTTCTCAGGATTACAAACTTTAACCCATAAAATGTGATCAAGCAACCAATCTACAGGTTTATCTTTGTAGAAAAGAAGAATGAATTCTACCAAAGTTGCTAAATCAGACGTCCTGAACAATTTACCTAAAAATAAATTACACAAAGTTTTACAAATGACTGAAAATATTGTGCATTCACGNAATATAACTTACAATCAAGTTTTGTTTCTTTCCCACCAAAGATGATTCTTTACCAACATGTTGGAACAAAGAAGGCTTGAAACGAATTCTTAATTGGCTCTTTTCTCTGTTACAATGGGCCTACAAATTATTCATAAGCCAACATAAAGTAACATAATTATTCTATACAAAGAACCATTTGTCTTTGCAATTCGTCCTAAAACAATGAGCTCTACAAGTGCCAAGAAAGTGAAGTAGCTGCAAAGAGATACTTTAAAGTAATTATATAGGAAAAAGAAAAAGTTAGTAGGAAAATGCTGTGGAAGAGCAAAACTAATACTGAATTAATCACTTACTGCATCTTTCTCAGGATTACAAACTTTAACCCATAAAATGTGATCAAGCAACCAATCTACAGGTTTATCTTTGTAGAAAAGAAGAATGAATTCTACCAAAGTTGCTAAATCAGACGTCCTGAACAATTTACCTAAAAATAAATCACACAAAGTTTTACAAATGACTGAAAATACTGTGCATTCACGATTATTATTGTAGCTGTTTATTATAAGTAATAGCATGGCTCTGAGGGAGATTAGGGATTAAATGTCCCCGAAGTCGAGGGCAGATAAGTTGAAGTCCCGACGGCCGCATGTTATTACTAGTAATCGTCCCTCATGCTATTCATGAGGGAGGGATGTTTGCTTGTAAACATCCCTCGGAAGACAAAAGAATCCGAGGTGATCATGGTATTACATTGCTAAACAGCCAGAACAGACAAAATTCAAGACGTGCCACAAAAATTAATACAAGGGAAAGCTGGCTCTTAATAACTTTTAGTGACTTTACAGTCAATGATATTATGGGACGTCTATATATAATTACCAGTTAATAAATAAATATTTATATATTTATATTGCTGGAATAATGCCTTTTAGTTTACTCTGATGATGGACGACCGTCCGAAAGCTTAGTGTTTTAGTTTTTTGAATTTAATAAAGTTTTGCTAGAGAAACATAGCACCGACTATTATAATAATAAATAAATGTAGTTATATAGTATTACACTCACCTATAAACCCCAAAGATGAGAATTCYAACATAAACCATCTATTACTTTCTTGTTGAAAAGCAAAAGTTTTAATTGTGCTGGCATAAGATGCTGTGGCAACAATGTCATCTTCCAACTAGACAATTATAAAAATAGTCCAATTTAAGGCATTATTACACTGTGTAATTTTCTTGGCAACTTGTAGAAGTTGCCCAAAAAATTAGAGCATGGTTAYACAATGCAACTTTTCTCAGCAACTTGCATGTTTTGGKTGARGTAAGTTGGAGCCAGAATCAAGATGGCGGACATTTTGAAATTGTCCACTGCATGCTTTAACAGCATATGACTTGAAAATTATGAGAAAAATAGCTGGATGGGTGATAGTACACTATGCAATGGCATAAAAGGTTGCTGCAATGCATTGTGAAAAGGTATCTATCACATCACTGCAAGCTCAACCACTATATTGTAATGGAGTATCATTGCTTCAGTTGCATGATATACATGATCATTGTATATAAAGCGTGGATTTCACTAGCACATAAGCATAGCATAAGCACAAGCATGAGAATCTTATGCGTCAGAGAGAACTGGCTCGACATAAGCATAAGACATTGAGCATGCGCATGAGAGTATTATTTCGGTACCAGGCTATGCTTATGCCTATGTAGTCCCGTTCTCATTGAACATAAGCATAAGATAAGCATCATGAGATAAGCACAAGAAGATCAAGCCTTGCTTGTTTTTCTTGTGCTCATGCTTATGCTTATTTTGAGCCCGTTCTCACTGGTGCATATGACTCTCGTGCTTCATGCTTATGCCTATGCTTATGCGCTAGTGAAATCCACGCTTAAAGAATATGCAAACAAAAGTATGAATTCTAACCTGAACATAAAACCTTGCTTTTTTCTGGCAGTACATCATTAGAAAACAGAAATCTAGATTTTGCTTTGTTCTCCACCTAATAAATTATGGACAAATTTCTCAGGAAAGATTTTATCACATCAAATCTTTTAATATAAAGAAGAAATTGAAGAGAAGCAAGTGAATTGAGAAATGCAGATAAAGAAGAGAAAGTAAAAGAAAAGAAATTGACAGGGGGACATGAAGAAGAAAGAAGAAGGGAAGGGAGAAAGAGGAGAAGAAAAGGAATAAAAAGGAGAGGACAAGAACGAAAGAGAATGAGAAGAAGAAAAGGAGGGATAAGAGAGGAAGAAAAAGAATTAAGGAAGAAAAAATATAGAAAACAAGAAATACTTTAAGGATATCACCCTCATAAATAAATTTTATCAACTATTTTAATTTGTACTTACTTGACTCTGTCTTTGGAGTCACCAAATGTCTGTGGTATGTTGTCCAGGTTTGGATAAAATGTTTTAGGAGGAGCAACGACTTCAATAAGACCAGACTCAACATCTTTAGAAAATCTATTAGATGAGGACAGTGATTAATATATACTGTAATTATAGGACTCCATGCTTTCCAATTCCAAGGCTGTAGGCCAAGTCCAGTTTGCTTGCAGTAAGAGGAACTTTTTGAGTTTTTAATTAAAATTATCTCTTAATTAGAAAGCAAGGAGTCCTATTACCTATTAATGTATTCTTAACTGTCCAAWTAACTTATGAAAATAATTAGACAGTTACCAATATATTTAGGATTAATAAGTTGGTTAGTAAATAAAAATCTGAGTGTGCATTTTAGTTGAGCTTCATGATAACAGATGCAATAATGTACCACGTGACCACCTATTGCTGGACTGTTTTTGTGAGAGTGTTAAACTGTATGTGTAGGTTCTAGCCCAGGCTGTGAGTGATGTGGACTCAAATATTCATTTAATATGGTCCATTTTAATTGATAATTTGTAATTACATGTACTACATTTACCTTTGCTTAATAGACTTTGCAATTTCTTTTGTATATTTTTCTTCAGTCTGAAACAAGAACAGACATCAAGTGAACATGGATTGAGTTATATTGGACTGGCTCAAAATAAACTGAACCAGTTCAGAAGAAATTGAACTGGTTCAAAATCATATTGAACCTGAACTACAACACATACATCCCTATAACTATTGCAGGTTTGGGCTTCCTGTCCTGTGTATTATAGCAAGCYAAGGGGAGGGTGAGGGACTACTCAGATTCTCCTTCTTATCTTTTGAATTGTCCCTAGTGCCTATCATTTTGATTATTACAAAGGAAGMCCAAAAATGGAAATTGAGTTGCTAAGGGAGGAAGTTAATTAAACTATGCCCATTTAAAGTGTAGTTTTATTTTTTACCTCTCCTATAAAAATAACTATCACAGTGTCATCTTTATCTTCTTGAGTCATTGATTCCAGTAAAGATGATATTGTATTGAGTAAGTATGAAGACTTTTGACGCTTGATGGTCGGAATTCCAAACACTAGGGAAACTGGAAAATATTTCAAGAATTATAAAGTACWCTAACTACCACATTTGCATTCGCCAGCATGAGAAATGAGCTGATTATGAATCTTAAAGCCAATCCCTGCCAGAATTATTTGTCACATTTGCTTTAACAAGAGATTTTAATGTCAGTAATAGAGTGGTTAGGTCTACAAGGTACATGCACCTGGAGGACCAGTGGAATGACATTTTACTGCCTAATTGTCCTGTCCAGGAAAGTTTTTGGCAAAGATTACAACCTATCAGGTGAGGAGTCATGATATTCCCTCCAACATAGTTCTATGGGTCTGAGGGATATGTTTAAATATGATCTTGATATTATAAACGAATAAAAAAACGTTTTTTAGTAACTGATGTCACAAGCCTAATATCTAATTATAATAACAAATCGAAAAAGAAAAAGCACAATTATAAGAATGCTAAAAAAGCTGTAATACAGTTAACTATTATCTATAAAAATTTATATATTCTTATTAGGTGACTATCCTTTGCAGAGAGTGTTAAGTGGAAGCAGTGATTTACTGATCAGTTAGGTGACTAATATGTAGTTTGTCTAAAAATAACATAGCTAAAAGTCTGAACTGCAAGTTAATTACAAGAAAGTGGAAAAAAGGCACTTAATATAATCTGATATGATTAACTACTTACCACCAACTCTATCTTTACTAACTTGTAGAGATGGCACCAAACTGTCTGGATTGTCCATCAAATGAGGCATCAAATGGTAAATACTAGGTAGATTTAAAGCAGARCTTGATGCAAGTGGTTCTACTAAACTTTTGGTGTTATTTGTTTTAATAATGTTTGGTCTAGGTTGAGTTGCTATTAATTTTGCAAGCTGTGCTTGTAATGAAATAAGTTCTTGAGATCTWGAAGAGCTTTGAAATTCTGCATCTCGTAATCTTTGTCTTAACTTTTGAAGTTTCTTGATTAGGTTAACATCTATTGTGAATGTTGGCTGATTGGAAGAATGAGCTGTAAAAAAAATCAAAACACAAAGAAACTATGAATAAACATTGGTTTGTAATGTTTTGTAATTATGCTAATTTTTCCAAATATTAAAGTCAAGCGTATGTCAACCTAATAATGTGTCCTAACAAACTAATGTCTGGCTGATATGAAAATGCAAATGCCAGCACAACTCAGGGTTGATGAAGTGTTTGTGTTGTAAATCTGATGCAACAAAAACAATGAGACAAGTAAGAAAGACCTGCAAAATAGCAATRCAAAGAAACAAACAAGACTATGGTGAAACTTTTGTATTGCAAAAAAGCAGAAAAGGAGATAATACAGCTCCAATACTAGGAGAGCAAGCGCTTGGCCTTCTTAGAAGAATCACAGAAAACAGGTGTCACTCATAAATTAAACATTCTAACTGATTGGTCTATTCAGACAACTAGGACATGCTATTATACAAAAACATTCAAGAAATCATTCTTAACTGTGGTAGTCATAGTTGTGCCTTTTTCTGAAATACATACTCATGGTGTATTGTGGTRTAGATTCAGCACAAACAACATCATATTTAGCTGTATGAACAGTAGATGTTTGTATAGAATCTAGACCATTATATATAATATAATGCAGGATGGCATGCTATTTCAGAAAAGGCCTATAATTTKCAAAACACATTCCTATTCAAAGAAAACTATGTAGTACATGTACCCTTCTGTTCAAAAAAACAACAATATATTACTCACACATGAATTATCAATTATTAAYAAAATATTAAAACAAAAAATGTATAATTTATTGTTCTATAGTTKAACAATAAAAAATATCAAAATCAAAATACAAAATCGTTTGTCTTCTTGGCAAAAGTTCTTTGAACATTTTTATACTATATATAAATTATTGAAACATCAATAATATCTTACACAGGTGCAAAATTCAGTACTGAATTATATGTGCATTTATTCCGACGCACAGRTATTGAATAATTGAAATTTTGTCTTTGCAGGGGATCTAAATCTAAATTTGAATTGTAAAGAAAATACAATTACACACTTGGTGTTTTTACTAGAATTCACCATGCCTCATATAATATGTAAATTAAGCCACATGACTAYATAATATGTACATTTAAAAGTTATTCAAAATAAAATATCCTACTAAATAATAAATGTACTGAARTAATGGAGTAATTTAATGTCTTATAGCTTTGTTGTTGTTATTTTTCAAAAAAGTCGAAATCTCACAGATTATAATCATCTGAAGATCAAGGGTTTTTATAAAAAAAGCTCATGATTTACAGACATCAGCTATAATTATTACATTCAGATTTTTTTAAGAAGTTGATGACTATAACTTTAACGTAATACTAAATATTAGTATGATAGTGATTAATAAATGTGRAATATTTATTACTTTCAGCCACCTATCCTAAAACCTATTATGTTTGTTTGCTTTTACTTTGAATGYCTTGACTGCAGATTTTCAAACTTTTTATATATCATGGAATCATACACTCACAACAGGAAATCCAACATTATCCCCTAGTGCTGCTACACAGGCTACACTAGACCTTATACAAGGTCCTTCACCTTCAGTTCGGACTTCAAGTAATTGTTGGGTTATGCTATATCTTTGATGAAGCCAATTGAAGGTTGATTTAAAATTTGCATTAAAATGTGCACATTATATTTAATTATTTTTTCAATTTGCTTTGTCAGTGACAATCACCACATGATATGTTGAATTTGTTTGGAAATATCCCAAAACATTGGTCTCACATGTACTGCATATACAAAGTACATCACATTTTTCATAAACTCAAGCTGTATTCCTATGGGTACATAGGGAAACACAGGAAAAGATTACTACATGTATATAAAACCAYGAATTGAAATGGTTACACAGGGTTCCTAGTAGAAATAAAAGTAGATGTCAAAATAGGAAAAGTACCTGTCAAAATAGGAAAAGTATTGCCAAATAATTTGTGAATAAATTCGTAAGTAGCCGGCGATTGACTAAAGMWATAATTGKCAATTTTCGCCAGCTGTCGGCAGTTCTACTGATTATGAGAACCTTGGTTACATCATAGTTTCTTATTTCAATAACATTATATAGCATTATCGTGAAATGCTTGGTAGTAAAGGATTTTAACGCTATTCATAAATAAAATGAATAATTGATTAATTTAACTGTCTTGTAGTTCCATAGGTTCTAACAGCTTCACAAACAGTGACAAAAGTGGGTCCCTAAAACGTAATTTAAATATGCAAAATAGTAAAACAATAAAAAGTTTTCATTTATTTCATTTCAAATCATTCTGTCTCTGCGATTAAATTGAATAGAAACTCAAATTACTCTCAAAGCAACACCCTTGGTAGGTGTTATATGGCATCAAAATAATGACCATAAACACTACATTTGTAGGCAGATGTTCAATAGCTGGTTGGTAAGAACATTCTCTATTCTGCAAAATTGATAATGCAGCCAACAAAGCTTAAAAAAAACATAAAAGAACAATAATATTTTCGTACAAAACAATATTTTCATGAATAAATAATTTAAATATAGAAACAAAAAAACTTCAATGAATATGAGATCTAGATCTCACACACACGACAAACTGATATGACAGGAAAATATCACGTTCCCGCGGATTTTTTTGAGATATATAATTACATTGTATATTAGGAAATAGTCAAAACGATTTTTTATCTGATTGACAAACTCCACAATATTTCCTATATTTTATTAAATGTCTTAAACTTGGAGATATTTCTTATATGGAACCGTTAATTACTTTCTTTGCTTTTAATCTGTAGACGTGTACAGTACCTGCTAAATATCATTTTGGCAAGTATTCTGGAATAACTTAATTTCTAAAAAATTGCCACGAAGACAGAGTTTTCTATTTATAATATATTGCTGGTCACCACGTCAACGTGCAACAGGAAAAGCTATTCAAAAATTAACTTCCTTTATCTGTGATTAGCATGTGCACATAAAATAATATCAAAAAATACAATGTATGCTATAAATTCATAGAACATAAGTTATAACGTAAGGTAGTTATAACATGGCGTGGACCAGTGATTTTGTCTGTGCGGGTTATTTGCATGTATGTTCGTGACAAACGACGAAAACTGATAAAATACTTAACTTATTCCCAAAATGACAGTGAAAATGTGACTCGATATTTTACGTTTAGTTTTATTTAGTTTAGTAATAAAAAAATATCTCTATTAGAATATTTCATTCGCCTTATGCCGATAATCRAGTCGCACTTATCGATATTGTGCAACAAATACTTATCGAGTGGCTAGAACATGTTTTGAGCCTTTTTGAAGGTATGCCACCAACTAAATATGGGAATGTGAATAATTGATCTATCCTTTTATTCTCTTCTTTAAACCACAGAAAATCGTCCAACTAGAGCAACTGTTATTTGGCAGATCAACTAGCGCTCAACAAATTTAAGCTTAAGCTTAAGCTTATAACTTAAATAGAACATCACTTACGAAATGAAAGATGAATTCATCACTGACCGAGATAATAACGGTCCTTCAATGCTTTTATCTGAAGTACTACCAACTTTTAGTATAAAATATCTTTTATGACCGCATAAAAATATGTCATTGTCGAACACCTAGGGATGTTTGTAGGACAGTGCATTGTCCGAGAAATCATTCTCATTTAGGGTAAAATGACTCTGCTGAGATGCATGACAATTTATAAACACAAAGACATATCCAACTTAACTCAATCGWTAATCAAACAACCCTCGATACTTCATYAGATAAAACGATTTACTAACAGTGAGGGTTCGCCGGTTGTTGYTGTCGTATTGGATTAAGTTCTAGCTTGAGAATGCTAACCAAACTTACCCCGGCTTTCCTCGGTGATGATGTGGTAGAGAAGTGGGCTAAATATTATCACTACAACCATAAAGATACGGTTTCTCCTTAGCATAAATGCCGCCATCCTAAGATTACAAACAGATAGTCTTAACTGGCATTTTCTCTACATTTTTAGTTTCAGATCAACAAGGAAATGCATTATCGTCCTAGACAGTGACAACACGAACGGCAACTCAAGCGATGCGCGATGCAACATTTTGGGGACTGGTGCCTAGTAGCATCTAGTTTCCCACGGTTTTATCACGCTAAATTGATTTTTTTTAGACAGATGTTTTCATAAAATATTTTGTTTTTCTTTGGCATTTTCAATCAACTCTATATGCAGACAAGGGGAAGGAAAAATTCATATAACCATTTATTGGCGGTTGCCTAGCAACGTATTATCTTATCCAGGCATTTTTTCGTCGATAAAAAGTGCAACGCTTTTATCCGAAAAAGAAAGACAAAATGTTAAGAATTATGAACAATGTTAGGCTACTGACTCCAGGGCTGTCAACTCTCTTGGATACACTGGGGGAGTCTCAAGAATTCAACATAAAATCTCACGGTTTTCCAGAAAAATGGAAAACTCACATACCAAAAAAATGTGTACTTTATCGTACTWAAAATACCGTCTTTTGGGAATATCTAAACAAAATGGCGGATTTATCGATCTCAGGATCTGAATTTACCAGGAATTGATAACCCTGCTACTCTTGGGATTGATAGGGTCAATTACTACACCATATAGAAAAGGAAATAAAAAGGTCTTTTCTTTCTATCATTGCTAAAACTCCTAGAGCTGTGGGATCCCTGTGGTCATAATATCCATGATGCACTTCGTAAAGCTTGTCCAAGATGGAGGAAGTTGATAATATTATTATCCACACTTTGCGGCAAATCGGCTGGTACGTATATGAACTAACAATGTTTTATCATTTTGAAAACAAATTARGTGTAAATCTGAAGCAAAAAGTGCAAAAATAGTGCCAGAAGTGTTAAATCAATGTGATTTTTGCTTTAGAAACGGTGTGTGTCACATGACCTGTTCAACTGATGTGTAGTCGAATGCGGGCGTAATCTTACTGAACTAAATTTGACTTCCTGACCAGACCATTCTCGAAATTATGTATAACTGAAATCTTTCTTGGAGGTTAATCTATTTTTTAGGAGGGAGGGGGGAGGGGGGGAGGGGGGATGGTCAATGGTTAATTAAATGGTCACCTTCTAGCACAATACAAAATCAGAAATGTTTACAAGACTATGAATGTTCTTATTAACTAATAGGATAGCCTGCGTGCAGCCGAACCAAAACTTGTTGTTACAACAAGTTTTGGTTCGGCTGCACACAGGCTACTAATAGGAGAGACATATAGGAAAATATTGGGCTTGTGGTAATGGTGTACAAATGACGATGAACCAATTATTTTCCAATTGGGTGTCCCCCCTCTCCTTAGGAATTCCAAAATCGTGTTTTACCCCCCTAGGAAATCAGGTTACCCCAAGGAAATGAATGAGAATAAATGCTCTCTCAAAAATAAGCACTTTTTTGAGAACGCAATCGTAAAATAGGCTCAGTCTCCAGCCATATATAATAAAGTATTTAAAAGACAATATCAAGTGTTGCATTAGGTTTTCCAACATAAATTTGGTTTTTCCAAGTTTCTGAGTGTTGGAAAACATAAAGAACGCTTGGATTCATTCATTCAAAATTGCTTTCTTAAATTCAAGGATAAGTGATGCTGAAACTCACAGGTATAGTTACAGTAATTCTATGCAAGTTTTAGACCTTTTACAAACCTCATTGAAGTATGATTTTTCTTTTTTTTTACCATCATTGTTGTTCATGAATTTGAGAAGTTTGTACAGATGGTAGTACCTTAATTTCACACAATTTAGAGCAGAATCAGGAGTATGGTTCCTTTGAAGTTCTCACTGTAATTAAAAAAAAACACACATTTATGGTCATCATAATGAATTAATCACTGCAAGACAGTAGAATACAGGTGCCCTGGGGAAAATAAATTTTTTTTTTCTTTGAGAGATTTGAACTGATTTTCTTACCTATATTTGGTCTTATAAATTTTTATGTGTTCCTAAAACTCTTCTCTGATGATTTGAAGAAATGTTTTTCTTTGATTGAATGTAAATACACTCAACAACACTCAAAAACACTTTGGCCTTAAGCTTGAAGTATTTTCACATCTTTAAAATGATTTATTAATTTTTGCAGTCATAGTATTTCAATCAAAATGTAAATTACAGCAGAGGTAGTGTTGATAGGGTATGAGGGCATGAAACTACGTTTGTATTACAGACTGTTATTGCCTGTGTGAAGTGTGAAAGCTTTTTTTTCTTAAATGCTCTAAATAAGTGATTTGAGCCAGCTATTTTAAATGTTTTTATCCCCAAAAATGTTTTTTTGATATTGTTTTGAAACAAAAATATTCCAATTTGTGCTATGAGTAACCAAAACTTTGACAGTCTTTAGCCGTTAAAACTGAATGATACAAAATAATTTATAAATTATTGTTTCTAAAAAAAGCCTTGGTTTTCTATTGTCTAATCTAYGCTATGTTGCACTATTTAGCATTATTTGATTAGTATTTTTCACCCTTTTAGAGTTTGCACATGTGGATTATATAGTTACTTACATGTACAAATAAATTTCCATGGAGTAAAAAACTAACTGATGTTGTTTTATCTCTGTCTAAAGCCTGAAAAGCTACATGCATATTCATYAACAATATGTGTATCTTCATGAGCACATTTAAATATTCATCCTTCCCAATAAAATTGATTTTACAATGATTACTGGTTACGACAAATGCTAGCAAGCTCTTAACGAGGCTCCAATTTTGTWTGTTTTCATCGCTATACTACAAAAAGGAGAAATGCTWAAATATTTTGTGAAATAAAAGAAATTGTACGTGTCTATAGATACAGTCTTTTTGAAGAATGATTATTTTTAACCCAGGGTTCATACAATAGGAAAAACTTGCTTAAGTACAGATAAAAAACTGGATCCAGTTTACTTAACACGCAAATAAAAGAAGGTTTTTGTAATATATAAGACTACCAATATTTGCATCTTAACTTCATCCATACTTGGATGTCATGGAAACTGATATATCCACATGGAATGTTTGGTGTGAATAGTAATGTAGTTTCCCAATACCTCTTTATTTTTGCTCAACCTGTTTGTCTCAAAAACTGTTTTGCATTCAGTACTGTAAAGTAATCTGACAGACTTTTCACGTTAGGCAAGACATAGATATCAGTGTTTTATATATTTATTTTAGAGATTTGAAATATTAGGGGTGTACATGTATAAAAGGCAAAGAATGACAGACGTTTTTGTGCTGCCATTAGTGAAATATGTTTCATGTATATTGGAGCCAAACAGGATAGGAGGTAAATTTGACGACTTTCATAATGATCAACACTAATTATCATATTATTGTTAAATTCATAATGTTGAGTAATGTTGAGCAAAATAATGTTGAGTTTCCGTAAGGATAGTGTGTGGTAATTAATCTTGGATAAAGTTTTATGAACAATGAATTGGAATGTGGTTGGAGACTGCTCCATTCTTTGTCATAATCAAAGCCTCATAAAATTCTATTATGAGATATTAATAATTATAAAGTTTTAATGAAATTAAATGTTTTGAATTTGAGATATCAACACTTTAAAATGTTTCTGGTTATTATTTAATCATGTGATCCAACGATCCTTTCCCATTGGATTAATAGGTCATGAAATATATTCAGGAGTTTTAATGTTAATATTTATCATAAAAAGTCATTACTAATTCATGAACTATAGTCATGTGCAATAAGGGCTGTCTATTTGGTGAGGTGACTTTGTAAATCCAAAACAAAGTCAGTTAAATATGGTTGGGAGAAACTGAGGGAAGCTAGCCATAATGTAGCATCAGTATTTTTAAAGAAACTGTTACAAAATAAGCTAAATTTTAGATTAATATTTTTTTCATTACTTTACTCTGTTGAAGGAGTAATGTTCAAATCGTCAGAAATTTTTTTCACCCACTTTTTACGGTGTTAAAATCTTGATTAATGTCAACTGTTTGATGTTGGAAACTGTAAAATTGGACCCATTGTAAACTATAATGTCAAGTTTATAATGTAAGATTGCCTTTCTAGATGAATTATGTAAATATTGAATAAATGAAGTGAAGTGACAAAGTGCATGCGACAAACACATAAAGATACCACATGGCCCTGCATGCTAAAGGGGTGCCMCTGYRGCAGCAAAGTATGCTRAGCTRCAAGCCTCRAGTTTAACTTTGCCTAAATTGCATTTAGCYTCACTAAACACATTATTTRATATACTAGTGATATACCTGAAGACGTGATGTCAATCAAAGACTTCACCACTCCCCTCATCATCCAGGGTGCTTCAAAGTGCTTTAGTGTCATCAATGAAGAAATTCAGATTCCTTCCACTCTGCCTGCCAGCATGTCTGCAAAATTTAGGATTGGAACGACTCTTGCTACTGCAATGCAGGTAATAATGTTTGAAAGGGGCAGGCAATGCAGTTGGTGYGGGGGCACACCTGTTCCTGAAACTTTAAAATCTTGTATATTMTCTGAAAAATTGTCAATTTGTTATAGACCTTCCATATGACTATGCTGAATGTTTTTGATGATATCAACTGTTAGAAATCAATGACCTGCACTACTTATGAAACGTGGTGTGATTATTAATCTGTTATGTCTTTTTAACCCTAGGAACTTGGCTATCAAGGCGAGATTGGTTATCAGACTTTTTTGTATTCCAATGAAGCTGATATCAGAAGAGTTTTCATGTTTTTAGTAGAAAGACTTCC